TTTTCATGTGATGTAATTGATTTTGTATGTGCCATGCTATGGGATGTGCTCAGGGATGTGCTCAGGGATGTAGATGAACTTCAGGTGAGGTATACTATGTGTAGAGAGGCCCTAACAAAATACATGTTTATTTGTGAATTCATAAATATTTTAAATAACCATTCTGATTTGCAGGGAAAAAATAACTACATCATTTATTTTATGTCTCAAATTCATGTAAGGAAATATGACACGGCTACAAGGCATATTAAACAAATGATTTTTGCAATATGGGAACATCCATAATTGACCACACAATTTTTGCCGATTTTGTATCCACCCACAAATTGTCAAAAAATTTGAAACACAAATTTGATTCTTTTATCACACATTGTCACACATTTTTTTACCCCCCACTTAGATATGTTACTTTGTTTTCAGATAGCCCCTTATTGCATAATCCTTTCATCTTCTTTTTACAATACAAATCTATTAATAGATATGTAAATTCTTTTTGTTGATAACTATTGTTTTTACCATTTACGGTGAACTATAGACCTCTATAAAAATATTAATTATCAAGCATTGAATAAAAATATAAAATAAAGATAAAGCATTATTTATCTTGGTCTTTTTTCATAGCAACTTTGAGAATGAGGGAATGCAGCCATGGAGAAAGAGTTGTGTTGGGAAAAAAGTTTTTCTGAATTTCATAAACTAATTATTAGAGGGTTCATCATAATCATGTCCCTTAGTCCTTGGACCGTTGGGGTGCCACAGATGACTATCCTCCTCCATTCGTCTCTGTTTTCTGCACTTCCCACAGCATCGCCTAGTTTTAGTCCCGTCCACTCTTTGATGTTATCTTCCCATCTTTTTCTCTGTCTTCCTCTTCTTCTCCCTCCTCTCGTTGTGCCCTGCATGATTTTTTTGGCAAGCCCTTGTTTCCTTGTCATGTGGCCATACCATTCCAGTTTGCGCTTTTTTACAGTCACCAGGGGGTCATTGTACTGCCCAATTGCTTGACGAATCCTTTCTTTCACTTGTTCAATGAAGATATGGTCTCTCCATCGCCTTTATTTTTCTTTCAAGTTCTACTATTAATGTCCAGGACTCGCAGGCATCTACAGTCTGGGACCCATTTACCCTGAAGAGCATCGATAGGTTGGAGGCGGTTCAGCGACGGGCAGCACGCTTTGTCCTGAATCGCTACAGAAACACCTCAAGTGTTGGCAGCATGCTGGAAACACCATTGGAAGAAAGACGATGACACTCCAGGCTCTCCATGTTGTACAAGATCAAAAATAGGCTAGTCCACTGCTCCAGCATTTAACAGAAACTCGTCCATCTCCCCCCTAGACAGCAACGAGGCCACGACAGGCAGTTCAGGCTAATAAAAACAAGAACTCAGTACAGAAGCTCCTCATTCCTGCCAAAGACAATAAGGGACTGGAACAAGCTTCCAAAAGCAACAGTTGAGGCGACTACACTTGACACATTTGTGTCTATTGCCTCCTGTCTTCCAACCCCTGGTTCATAATACCACTGCTGAGTAGCCCTTGCAACCAGTGAAGTATCCCATTCAAAACTATGCACAATAAAATCAACATACTGAATCTTGTTATTATTAAATTTCCATATAAATCCAACAGGTGTATTACTAGCATACAATATACCAGTAACTGCAATGTCTAATATTTCATTATGGTTAGCACTATTGAAATGTTTAGAAACTGGACAAAGGACTTGTTTATTGATGCATTAAAGGTGTTCTCTAGAACAGTCTTTAAGGCAATGACCTGTTACCAATGTTCCCTCTAAGGTTTGCTGGTTTGTGTGCAAAATCTTACAGTTGTTTGCACATTTTTACAGCATGAATTTTTGTGTGCAAAATTTTACAGCCCACAAACAAAAACACACACAGGGAATTTAGCTGCGCGGATACTAAAAACTGCTGCGCGGCGTCTGTGAGTTAGCTGCGCAGCCGCGCAGCTTAAAGGGAACATTGCCTGTTACCTACATATGATTGTCATGAAAAGGTTCTCATCCACATCTTTTGCTTAAGGAATCTCAGTGGAGATGGTACTTCCTTATCTTTTCAAACACTCTCTCTTTTATCTTACTTTTACTTTTACTTCATTAAATAATTTGGCAATACTGAAGAGTATGTAGCTTGAGAGTTAAACCCAACAAATTTTCTGTATTTGGAAATTATGCTTTAAAGGCCCATAAATAAATGATGTCATGCATAGCAGAGTTAAGAAAAGAAAAAAGGTTGGGCGGGGTCTTCGGTAAATAAAAAAAAAAAGGTTTGGCGTAGGAGCGGTGCAAAATAGAGAGATTCCATTTAAAGATATCCCTCCAAGGAAGTTGGGATTTTTTTTTTTTTGTTGCTTTTTTTCAAACGCTAAGTAATAATAAGCTATTGCTTTGATGCAAAAGTATAAAGCTGCGTTTCCCAAACATTTGATTCGTCGTACCGGTGGACAAGTTTGGAATTGCACCAAGGACCGGTGCTAGATTTATTAATTATATTTTATATCCAGTAAAAAATGAATATTCATGTTGTGCAGACCGGACACCTAAGGCTTGCAGACCGGTGCCGGTCCACTGATCACCATTTGGGAAACGTTGGTCAGAAGTGGATTAAAATTCATTATCAAGCTTGTGGTGTGTAGTGCTTGAACGGTTCTTCCTTTTCAAAAGGCTGTCATGCGTGACGTGCGAACTCAGGTTTTTTTAAAAGTTATTTTGGGGGAGGTGACTATTACTAACTTACTTGAGAAAATCAGCAGAGGGTGCGTCCATTAATTACGTCAACGAAATAGGGGGTGGGGAGGGGGTTTGGAAATGTTTGACAGTTGTTGACAAAGGGGAGGTAGTGGGGTTTAGATTAGTTGACGTCAACAATCATGTTTTTTTAATTAAAATTTTAATCTTAAAAATTGACCGGTTCTTACATTAATTTAAACAATTTAATGAGTGTAAATAGTCATGCTTAGGCTTTTAACAATATAAGAGTTATGTATTGTGTGTCTGTCTGTGCCACGGACGTGCTGGCAAATGGAAACCCGTGACGAACGGTGTAATAAGAAAGGCCCGGAGCCCCCCCCCCCCCCCCCCCCCCCCGCGCACACCGGAGATTGTAATAACTGCCCAAAAAGGCCCATGACGAATGCTCGTCGCGTCGTCGTGGGCCAGCACGTCCCTGGTCTGTGCACCGCAGATGGCTGGTCAGAATGTTAGCACACTTTTTTAGTGCAAGGGAAGTCAAAAGTTGGCATCTCTCCACCTGTCATTATTTTTCTCAATCCGCTCCCTATTAACACATCATTATACACGGTGTTCAATTTATAATTTAAAAAAAACCTCATCGGTGTTCAATAACAACTATACCAACTCAAAGACAGAGAGAGAGCTTATGGCAACTATTGCTCACACAGACAATGCTTCGATTTTAAATGTTGAATAGTTAGATAAGGATGATGTTGACTTGTCATGTACATCAGTTCCGCAAGGTGAAAATGATAAATCAGCTACTATAGATTATGACCTTTAGAGGCGTCATTTCAGTTTTTTTTCAGGGAAAAAAAAAAGGGTGGGGAGGGGGGGAGGCCAACACCAAAACTTGGTCGTCTTGTAAATTTGTTTATTACTGGATGCGCTACAGAACATAGCAATTTTAATGAATACCAGCAAAATCGGGGTGGGGGGGGGGAATGCCACCCTGGCCTACCCAAATGATGTCCCCGATGTTACGATAGAGCAACACCTGGCTACTCTTTGGAAGATAATAGCAGCTAAAAGCTATACAATAATTGTCAGCTTTACAGTCAATAATCATATTTATACGACCACAAACAATTGTTTTTTAGTCTTTAACAAACTTTCAATTGATCCTGCATTAGAAAATTTAAGTGTAAAAACTTTTTAACTTGTTGATTAACAAGCTAAAGATGTAATGAAATGTTTTTCCTACAATTTTGTGTTATTAAAAATACATCAGCACAAAGTAAAACGTATTTATAAATCTATATTTATGTTATAATTCTTAATTTTTATTATTTTCTTTTGAGGAAGGTTGGCAGTTGTTGAGAAGGGGAGGGAGGAGGTCAAAAATTGTGAAAAAATTGTTGACGTAATTAAATGGACGACCCCAGACCATGGAGCCAGAGCTCAAAAGGTCTTCCCCGATGCCCCACCCTGCCAACCCGACCAGCCATCAAACACTCCCCAGTGGTCCTTATTCCGGTTGGGCCACGAAGCGGCACGCCAGGGGCATTTCGCCCCTGAGACAGCCACACCCACCCTTCCACTCGATTGACTATGCGAATGGGGCGGCATTAGAGAAGAAACACCTGGCCGGCCGGGGTGCTGTTCTCACAGCAACCGGGCCGGACTTTCCAGGGGCTGGGGCGGATATATTTTACGTCTGTAAGTCCCCCACTTCGCACCCCGGCAGGAGGAGTCGACTATTAAATTAATCGATAAAGAGCACACGGGTATTATGTAGGAAAGGATGTAGGACTTAGTTTTAAAAGGCCGACAGGTAGGTCATAGGATCGTCTGTAGGCCTATTGTTTAAAGGCCGGCAGGAAAGGTGTAGGACTTGAGTGGGCCTATTGTTTAAAGGCTGGCATATATTATAGGAAATTAAAAGTTAATTTTTTAAAATATTTTTTTTTATAACACTTGGACTTGGACTCACCTGGTATTTTTAGCCCCAGTTATTATTATTATGGTAAACATATATATAATTTAAAGACCATTAAGTTATAATAGTTTGCATTTCAACAACAGTAGACTACTCTACATTTAAAAACATAAAGCATTACATAATAATAATTCGTATCTTACTTAGTATTTTAATTACTTTTTAAAAATTTTTGATCCAAAAATGCGCTTTGTATCTTGGATTTACTTTCTCTGAGGACTCTTACATCTTAAATTTTGATTAATTATTTGATAATGACGAGGTATAAAAATCTGGCAAACTAGAAGAAAGAGGTCAAGGTTCTACCATAGCGGAAGTGGATATACTTATTCAACCAACCGTACCTACAAAATAGAAAACAAAAAAGGAAAAACTATCAGGTGTATGGTGTTTTTATTAACTTATCATCGCTGACGTACATATGCAAATCACAGATGCATTGACATAAATTGCACTTAAGCATTTATGCTAATAATTTCATACCTTAATAGATAGGTGACTAGAATGTGAGTTAAACTAGGTAACTAGTTAAACTAGAAACTAGTCATTCTCATTCAATGTTCAAGTTTCATTAAAAAGAAAAAAATATTGTGAATTTTATTTATTATTTCCAAAGCTGACATTTGAAGCTTAGGGCCTATTTATTTTGATTTGTACATATTTTAAAATAATTTTGACTCTTTTTAAAATTATATTTCTTTTTTAAAAAATCTGCTACCTAAAGTTTTTTTTTAATTTACTGACTACTTTGAAGTTTTGGTCTTGGTAAATTTTAGGTTAATGGAAGGGGTTTTGCCCAAGAGTTGTCTCACCCTAAGGCCCTAAGTGCAGTGAGATCACTTAGGGAAATCCCAAAACTGGACTTAGAGTGAATGGACCAAATTTTGGACCTGAACACTGTGTGTGATAACTTTCCCATTCTTCAATGAGCATTACTTGTGACATAAACTAAATGATAAATCTGACGATCGATATAATATGGTTAATATGAAGTATACTATAAAAGGCCTATATCAAAAGCACATTTTTATAAATTCAACATACAAGTTTCAAAATAAATTTAAAAAGAAACACATCCTTGCTGATACACTAAGACCCAACAAAGGTGGCAAAAAAAGGCGTGCCCTAAAAGTGCTGTCTTTGGACTTTTGATTAGTCGAAAATGGAAGTACCTGTATGTTAAAACTCCGGTAACAAAAGGGAGACTACTACTTAATTTGTATTGAAAATGGGCATCCGCGCAATAGGTTAGGAAATATTTGATAACTTGTGTTTCGGAATGCATTTAGAAGTCATTTAAACATGAATATTTTTAGGTTTTAAAACCCGGTATATTCCATATTATAAATGATTACAATTCTCCATGTGCAAAATCTCAGAGTTTCATTCATAAGAGTTTGCAGTGTGCAAACACTGTTGTGTATACCAGGGTCAGCAATTTATTTTGGGGGGCAGAGCCATTTTTTTAATAAATTATATTTTCTAAGATTAGGCCCTATTCATAAGTAACTAAGAACACATTTAGGGAGCCATAGGATCATAGGAAGTTTTTAGTTTGAGAGAACAAATATTCACATAACATCTGGCTGGAGTAATATATTATAACTAAGTCATAATTTAAATTTAGGGACTAGGCCTGCATTAAAAAAAAATTAGGACTATTATAATTAAATTATTTATTCACTCTTTTTATAGGCCTACTGAAAAGAAATGTTTTATATTTATATTTAAGGAAAATAGACATATTTATTCAGTCTTATCTTAGGGTATTTTTTAATATTGTATGCATTTAATCATTTAAACTAAATCAAAGTTTATCAAGCAATTTATTGTAAACCATATGAATTCTTTAAACATCTATTTATATTAGGCCCATTTTACTTTTTTAATTAGGGATAAATTATTTATTGCAGATTGTCCTTGACAGTTGTTTTAAGAATGATGTGTGGATAAAATGGGGTGCACATATTCAGGGCACATTGGTAAAAATGATGGTACTCGCTCATTTAGAGTTTACAATGTTGATGATCAAGGTGTTGAACTTAATAGAGGAACAATAGAAATCCGGGAGAATGACTTAGTTCTGTACCAAAAAGGAAAAGATACAATCAGGTACACATTGACGTGAAATTGAAAGGCTTTTTTTTTTTGGGGGTTGGGGGGCAATCCTAGTTTTTGTGTGTTCTGTACGTTTTCTATATTTGTTTTGCTTACAGTCCCATTTAATATTTTCAAGCATAACATCATAAAACATTTTAAAGTTATGGATACTAATTTTTAAAAATGAAATAGTTTTCTTTGGGGGAATTTTAATTAATTGAATTTATTTTTAGGTGGCCATTACGAGGATTGCGACGATATGGTTTTGATGCAGAACTGTTTTCATTTGAGAGTGGTAGAAGATGTGCAATGGGTCCAGGCATTTATGCTTTTAAGTGTTCACATGCAGAATCTTTATTTAATTTGGTTCAAGAAAGTTTGCAGAGGGCTGGAGAGGAAGACCAGAGAGGCCAGCAACAAAATCACAGTCATAACACCACAGTTTCTGGAATTCAACATAATAGGTCAGTTTGTCATATAAACCATACAATTTTTTAAGAATTCTAGTTTTTTACTTTGATTTTTTAAACAATAAATAATGATTCATTCATAATATCAAAATGTCAGTCAATAATTTGTATTTGTCAAGTTTTGTTTATGACTTTAAAAAAATTCTAATTGTCATATTGCTAGGTTTCAAATGCTACATTCTTTAGACCTTTCCATGTTAATTTTTACCAACATTATCAAGTTGAGAAGGCTGATTATGGGAAAAAATGCAATACTTAAATCATGCTTCCAACAACAGTATTCCTTTTTAATCCAGGGGATCAGCTAGTGCTGTAAGTGAACCAGTTAGTCAGGCCAGTGAAAGACTTTTTATCTATAATGGCACAACAGAAGATACAGAGGTAACAGGAAGTAGAAATGGGAGTTCTCACCTGTATGTCAATGGAATACTTTCTGATGATTCAGGACATGAATATGTTAATTCTGCTGTTACAAGAGCTAATGGTGGAGCGTTTCAGATAGATGAAACAGCTGCCCTCATAGATTTCTTACATAACCCACCAGGTGTGAGGTCTGGTGCCACTCGTTCCCAGGTTGGTTGTATTTATGGATTTAAGAAATGTAATTTTTACACAACCCTGATATTATAGATATAAAAGATTTATATTAGATTTTTTAAACTTAATCCATGAAGTGGTAATATTAAAAATGTTAAGTTCTGAAAATAATATTGGTGAAGCAGATTATTTAAGATTAAAAGTTTTTGTAAAGAGTCAAAATCTTAGGAGATTTGTTAATGTTTTTATTTTTCCAGGTAAATTATGCAGAGCTTTGCATGCCAGACACACAGCCAAGCATGATGAGTATGGAGAACCTGCTGGATGAGAATGGTATGGATGCTGTGCGCAATGTTGAAAGGAGGATGACAGGCCCAGATATTCGCAACAGACTGTCACAGCATAGTTTATCTTTAGGAGGATTCGGTGCTGAAAGCAGTAAGCCAAATTTTAACATTAAAATAGACCATTAGGTTATATTTTAAAAATGTATTGTTTTGCACTTTGATATTAACAAAGTAGCCTAAAGGCTTTGAATATTTAAAAAGAAAATAGATATTAGTAAGAGCCAGGCTGATACATATAAAAATCACTGTTTGAAATTGATAATCCTGTGTAACATTCTTTAACACATCAAATTTATATTTCGTCTCTTAATTACAGACAATCGTATTTCCATGCCCAATGATCTTCTGGCTAGCAGTTCTCAAGAATGCATCCTTCAGTCAGGTGATTCTGATGTTTTTCTACCAGATGTACCCCAAGATACTGGGGCCTCTTCTAATTATGTGAATATTGCTTTAGAAGAACCTTCATTACCAGCTCGGCCCCCATCTCAAGAAGAGATTCTCCTTCCACCTGCTCATGACGCACTGACCAATTATGCTAATGTTGATTTCCTCCCATCAAGAGTTCAGAAAGTACCAATGAGAGCTCCAAGAGTCAATAAACTAGTAAGTGGGAATAAGAAGAGTTCTTTTTTTGAGTGCATACAATTCAATTTTGTATATGAATACATTTAATTTATGGATCAAATCTTAAAATTATAAAAGGATTTACACAATTATCTGTTTAATTTTTTTTTTATTGTTGTAGTTTTAGGCAATACACATACATTATAAGATAATTTGTATCTGATATAAGTAATAAAGAAAGAAATATAAAGAAATATAAACTTAAATGTTTATCAATTTTATGTCATTTTTAGACTAAATACATAATCATATCAAGTAAATCATTACATTTTACCTGGCTAGGAATTTGTTCTAAGTAAAAAATTTCTTGCTCATTAATTTTTTTAAAATAAACTGGTATCTTAGTAATATTTAATTTAGGTAATTTTACAAAGTAAATATTGTGTATGGGATCTAATGAGCATGCAGGATGTTTATGTTATAATATATTAAATATGAATTATCTGTGAAGAAAAATAAGTCTAATTTTTGCTAAGTCTTATTATTTATTATTTTGCCTCCACAGCCCCAAGTTAACTACATTGTGATAGATCATAAAAACCAAAGTAATGACAACCTACCAGGGAATAATTCCCCAACATCTCCAACAAGCTGCGTGTCCTTTCCCGAATCTCCCAGCAGGAAAACTGAAAGCTATGCCATGATTGACTTTGGTAGGACTGCAGCACTGTCCCAAACTGTGCGCCCAGTGGAGGATGAAGGTGGCAGAAAGACTCGGCATAATAGCACTATCAGCGACATGCCGTAAGGAGGCTCAGCAAATTCAGAGACAAGTTTTCATGCTTGTCAGATGTTTTCAGTTGCTTAACTGAACCATTCATCCAAAAGTAAGATTCTTAAATGGTGTATTCATGGCCAATATGAAAAAGCCGGTGATGATGGTGGTTAGCAGTTTCTATGAACCTGAAAGATGCCAAATCCCCTGCTACAAACAAGGATCAATACAACCTGATATTGAGAATATCACTTTATAAAAAAAACATGTTTCACTTACCTGGTACAGTGAGCTGTAAACAATGAAGGCATCCACTAAAATAAGTCTTATTGATTGTTTTAATGTTCTGTTTAATACCTTGGAGCATTCCATGAACATTCCAGCAAGGCCATGGATCACATGCTCCCAGCATGTTGTTGTAATGAAATATCTTACAGGATACTTTGAGGAATACATCTTTTGTGTCTTCTCACATTCCTGGAACATACCTGTACGCAGTCTATGTCTTTGAATATATGACAGTATTTTAAGTCTAATTTCATACAGGGTGTGTTTTGTTTCGTTGCATTCAACTCTTTTAAAACAACGTTGTCTATCAGCATTTTATTATTTTATGAACTTTCATAAGCTGGGAATTTTTTTAATTTCCATCATGTGGTGGTAGGTTTATAATTCTAATCTAATCAGTGCCTGACACTGATATTGGGAGACTGAAACATCACTGTCTTTTTAATGGTCTTAATCTTCCACCATTTTTAGTGATATTGGACCTGAACTAAACATTTTCTTTTATGTTGGTATGATAAAAGATGTTGTGTAGTCTCACCTTCCCCCCCCCCCCCATGTATAGCAGAACAATTGCTATCCTATAATGTATTAGGCTCATTTTGCTGGACACCCCTGATGTAGAGATGGGCTTATCTCCTAATAGATCAGTTAACTGCCTTATTTCAAGTCCATAATTTAATAAGTGCTTGAGTTCTAATAGTAGCAGACAAGAGATAAAGCCTCTGTCTTAGCTGGGAAATATTCTGACATTGATACAAATTTATATTAATTTTGTTTATCATAAATAGCTGTATTTGGTTAAGGGGAGTTTTGTGCTGGCCAGCCATACTCTTTTTCCACCCTCTTTTAATAAGCACCTCTTTCATTTGTGCCAGATAACAACCAAGGTCTTTTTGCAACTATTTTGTGGACAAAGCAGTTTGAAATCTGCTGTAAATAGGGAATTTATATTTTATTTTTTATAGTTTTATCATCAGTGGAAATGAAAATGACCCAGTATAAATAATTAATGACAAATTTTAAGTGTTGTGAGTCAAAGATGTTACTAAACCAGACGATTTGTTGGGATGATTGTTTCATTATTTTACAAAGCAGGAGTAACAGGAGTAATAAATGTTAAGTAAATAAAAACAGTTAATCAATTACATGCTATATGGATTACATTATAAAAATGGTATTCCTATACGCATACAGAGATATGAATACTCCAAAAGTTTTTCAAATGTACCGGGGAAACAAATGGTATTTATTGGCAAGCTTTTGGACATCCCCCTCCTCCCAACTTACATAACATTGTATTTACATTAATTCATACCACAACATTGTTTATTTTATGTGGGTTGCAGTGCCTATGTTTTATTTATTGATATTACATCTCATCTTGATCATTCTCAACATGTACTTTGTACGTAACAGAGTCATAACTTTCTGGATGTCCTTAAATTGGTCAGGGACTGAACACAATAATTGTTTTTCACTTGATTTTCTTTAAATATAATGTATGTATTGAAATGAAAACCTTCGGTTGTGAAGGAATATTGACCAGATCTGCTAACCATTTTTCACCCTTAACACTACCTGTCACTCTTTGGTTGTGAACAGAATGCATTTAATTCTCACACAATTCCTTCTCATTAGACTGTACACAGAAACTTTCCTCAGTCTTTTGCAAATGAAACTAAAGATAAACTATAGCCGGTTAAATAACTTACAGACTAAAGAAAATGATGTAAAGTTTATTACTATTTAGAAAGATTGTATAGAGAATCAATGCCCAGTTTATTACCATTTAGTTATACTGTGTAGAGAAATAATGCCCAGTTAAATGAAAATCATATAACTAATTACCATTGGCAGTTGCTTGTTTTGTTTTAATTTCATAGACATAGTTGAACATTCAAAAACCACTTTAACTTTTTAACATTAATAGATAAACATTCATTTATTCAAAAAGAATGACATTATTTGTCATTTAGGCAGCATGTCTTAAAAAACTTTACTCCGGTGGACAGATTTTCAGTGGATTTAATCAATTTTAGGAAAGCCAAAAAAAAAAAAATGTACAAGAAAAGAGCAATTATTATTATTATTATGATGTTTTTATTGGCAGTTCTGTTCCAATAGTGCACAGCATTCTATCCCTTTCAGTGTGAGAGGTTTTTATTAGATTTGAACCATTTTAACCATAGAAAATGGATGCCTTGAAACTGTTGAGCAGAGAATCGAACACGATTGGGGGGGGGGGGGGGGGGGGGGATGTGCAATATCTTTACCGAAAATGTTTAGTCCTTTGTGTTATAACAATTGATCGCTATTCATCTTTTTATCTCTTTAGAGTCTTACAATTTTATTTTAAATGCCAGGTTTATAGGAGTAAAATGTGCAGGATGAATTGCATTCTGGTGAAAATAATTTTACTTTTGATCAAGTTCATTTTTTGTGTGGTGCTTTTAATAGTGTGCTGAATAGAAAGGTGTTTACTTTAACCTTCAACTCATTTCTATATTTGAAATTTAAAGAACCCAACAGTTACGTTGGTTACTATCAGAAAAGTATTAATTTTTTTTACTGTTTTATTTCCTTTACAATGAAACTTGCCCCTCTTTGACTCTGCAAAGCATCTCTGCATACGAACATTGCTTTCTTAAATTATATTTTAAAGCTGAGATGCCTGAAATATGTTTATTAGAGAAGTTGACATGCTTCCTTTGCAGATAGTGTTTCTCATAATTATTTGTGTTTTGGCAGAAACAATGAATGATAAATAAAACTGAAAAGTAAATTGTGGAATTTTACCCATGCAATAATTCATGATGAACCCATTTAAATAAAGACACTATTTTAGAGAAACGCACAATTGATGATAGTAAGTTGGGACATCTCAATTATTCCTGTCAGCACGAATATATATATTTTTTCTATGCATAATGGTTTGACGCTTGTAATCAGTGGCTCTTACCCTTTTTGGTTTAACAAATTTCCAACATCCCTTGCTCGATTTCAAAACTTTAACTGTAAAAGATTATAATAAAAATGCATATATATCTGATTTTCTGGGTCTTCCCGCACCCCCTAACTCTGCCTGGTTAAGAACCCCTGTTGTTAATATTTCTTTAAATACAAGACTTCATTCACTTTCATTATTTCTTGTTATATGGGTCAAAGGTCATAGTTTAGAGTGACTTTCCTAAACACAGTCCAGTCTGTTTGGTTGTTTATGTTGCATTAGTCACAATAGTCCTGAAAACAATGTTTTCTATAATCTTTTACATTTGTGGTCTTAAAAATGTTATTTCATACATGAACCTGTGGTGTCCATTATGGCCACTCTGATCTTATTATTTGTGTGCACTGCTTTTGATCATGTAGATGAATTTGTTTTTAATTCATGTAATTTTTTTAAAAGTCAATGGCCTCTTTGGTATGATAATCATTTTATTGTAATGACTTCTGTTCTTATTATGGAAACTCATCTTTCTCTAAAGCAATGCACATCATAATGCTAGCCATTGTTGGCCGAATGCGTCCAATGTTTTTTTTTTTGGTGTGTCATGATACATACAAGCTTTGTTCACAGAAATCAAAACCACTGCCAGTGAAGAAATTATATTATGAGCTCATTTTATTATTCAAATACCACAGGGTATTTGTTCATGCTGAAAATTCATGCTATCAAGTGTTATAGCTAATGTTTATTTTATTTTATTATTTTTTTAATATCCAAAGCTCAGCAATGTATTCTAGTCAATGTCATTGTTAATATACATGTATAAAAGCAATACTTTTTGCACTTAATAATAGCCTAACTTTTTTTAAAGGTATTGACATGAGCAGTTTTCTTGTTTAAAAACAACTTCAATTCTCCCTCAATCATTGTGCTTTATTTCCAAAAAAAAAAATAGTACCTTTTTGCTCAATTTTATTGTGAGGGAAAATTCTAGTTGATTCAATAATTATAGTTGATTCAGAAAAAAGCAGTTACTGTAAATATAAAATGCACTTTAGTTACTGTCAATATTCAATACTTGTAGTTTGTGATAAAATAAAAAATTGTTGGACAATAAAAAAGCTAGTATAATTTAAATCTCATTGTAATTTTTTTCAATGAATTCAACATTTTTGTTAGAGTATATATTTCATGTTTGAACCCTTTCAACCATTAATATCTGGACTTGTGAATGTTATCTATCTCAGATGAAAAGTATTCTCACATTTCTCAAATGCACCCAGTCATGGCAAGATACAACTGAATCTCTCCATAAGTGATAGCACGTACTTAATACATGCTCTGAAGTTATAAAGAATTTTTATTTTTTTTGAAGTCTTCTAAATTTGTTTTGCAAAACTATGTTGAAAATTCGATTTTCAGCGCTAAGTGATGAATAGAATTCAGTTTTTTTGTTAAACTTTTTTAAATGAGTTTTTGGTTTTATAAAAAACATGTTTTCAATCTTGATTTTTGGGTTTTACACAGCACAAAATAAATGACAAATAGCTGATTAATGTAAATTTTTGTTGCCAGTTTTTATTTTGGTCCAAATGGTAATGTTTTTCTTTCTTATGTTTAAACATAAAAAATTGAAACCTTTATGTCAGTAAATTAAATTTTGGGTATTGCAAATAGATATAAAAAATATGTGCTTTTATGTGAAAGGCTTTGTTGATCTACATCATTACAACCAATTTAGTTTAATATGCTTTAAAAAAAATCACACACTTGCAATCACTATTTTTTTAAATGTATTTTCTGTGTTTAAATAGGCATCTGAGGTTTTATTTCTTGTGATGATATGAGGTCTTTATAATTGTTCATCAGTTACTTTAATATAACTGGATCATAAGAGTATTTTGGTTTAAGATGGTTAATGTAGTCAGTCTTGCTCAAAGCTTATTAAAATACAGGAGGGAAGCATTTGATAAACCATTTACACTTTGTTATATATATATATATATATATATATATATATATATATCTTCCTATTAAACATTTTACACATGCTTGATCAATTGGATTATTTTTACGAGATCTGAGTGTTAAGCAATTGTTGAAGGTGTAATAAAAATTTTTTAAAATTACCTGGATCTTGTTATAGAGCTGATGTAAAATTTTGAAATTTTTTGATTATAACTTTTTTACAGCTTTGTTTTTTGATGTTTATTTTGTAGATGGATATTTTTGTCTTTTGTCTCAAATATTGCTGTATTCCTGCGTAACTGATAGCTAAATGCGTTTGTCTGTCTTTTATGTTTGAAAACTATGTTGGCTTATAAAAAATCTTTAAACTTTGTTGTATTCATCTCTTGGTAAAAGAAAAGGTTCAACAGTGACTCCATGGCTTCACACTCATCACAAAAAAAAGGCCTTCTAAATTTTTACTCATGGATTTTAAAAATTGATTGATGGCAATAAAATAAACTAGGTTTCCTAATGAGATGTTTGACCTATAATTTATAATTAATGGGACTCTGGATTTTAATGTTTTTATGATGCAATTAGATATTTGTCCACTTTGTGTTCATAGATGTATGTATAGAGGGAAGACCATGATAACTGCGTACTTACAATCACTGGCCACCCTTGCTTCTTTTTTTGTTTTAAATTAAATTTTCAGTTTCAAAGAATCTGTTGGATTTGCTAGTCAGTTTGTTGCAATAATGACAGGGTAATATGATAAGGTACATCAGTTACTCTCAAATTCAAATGAGTTTTTAGCCAAGCCTGGTGTCAAACTTTAATTTAAAAGAAATAAGTCAATTATTGTTTTTAATGTAATTATTGTAAAATTAATAGTTGCTTTAACATATTTGTTTTCATAATATTTGGTATAATCACAAACAATTTCCTGGTATTTATTATTAAATTTACTTAACAGAAGGAATGTCAGTCAGAAGGGAAGTCCCTACTTGCCTTATTTAAAGCAGCTGCATTGTTTTAATTTGTCAATGCCAGCTGTTATATCTTTGTTTTTTCCAGACATAGGCATTTACTTTATGTTATAAACAAAATACTTAACCTAAATTCCATGATAAATATATATAAATAATGCTCTATGAATTTTTACTGTGTGTGAGGCTGCTCAGATTAAGATTGCAGTTATTGAACATTTATTTAGTTATGATACTTATGACTTTTACCATGAAAATGAAAGATTTATTGTTTTTTAAATGTATTTGTATTATGTTTTTATTACATCATCAGCTCACTTACAACTTTTGTTTTAAAATGTTGATAAAGTTCTTTTTATTTGAGATCCACAAACAAGTGACACCAATTTTGAATACATAGAGTGATCCATTTGTCGGTATTGTGAATATGAATTTAAACAGTTATAAATTGTAGGGTTATAGGTAAAATATTGTAGTGACTAAAGCGTGGGACTATTTTTTAAATATTCTATGTATATTCTTAAAGTGTTGTGATTTAAGAGAGTTGACCTACTGAACAAAGATGATTTGGGTCATTTAAAAAAAAAAAGAAAATATTTTTGTGTGTGTCTGTTGAATAATGTCAAGGGTTGTGAGCCTGCCGTCTGCATTTAAAACAATGAATCACATTTGCTTGTTTTATTGACTGGTTAACTTTAATGAATCTTTTTGTGTAGCTTATTTTGGCTTCCTTTTTTGTTTCAATGTATATCTTGAGGTATATCATTAGAAAGTCTTTTCTTAGTCTTGTATCTGTTTTTGTCCTTAAATGATGCTCATTAATGTTGTAACATTGTATTGCATGGACATGAGGCATAGCACTACTTTGTACAATCAAAAGGGACTTGACTGATCATTTTTTATAGGAAATTTCAATTTATTGTTTTTGTTTTTTTACACAGTCCAACAAAATGATATTTTGTAAATTTGAGCAATAAATTTAATGACAATAACAGTGTAATGTTGTTTTTATTAATTTCAAGAACAACTTTGGTTTTAATTTTTTTTTTTTATTCCTTGTGTAATACTGAACATTTATTGGTGTTTTTTTCTTTACAAAATGTGTAGGATACTAAATT